AAAGTTTAACACATCTGAAACATAGAGTGTGCCAACCAAAAATTATACATTAACCATTGTAACTTCACATAGACAAGAAAAATACCGAAAAGAAACGAAATCTAAATAACTATTTGATAAGAACAGTGAAATGCGCGAGTTCTGTTCCGTAAGTCAATGAATTTTTGAATAATTTTTTTCCAGCAAATAAGCGTTTAAATTTCCAACATAATCCTTTTCAGCTCAATACATTTACTACAGCGTTTTTATGATTGTTTTTCCATTCTTTCCAAATAAAAGATTTTCTCAGGCTCCTCATTATAGGCGTTTATCTGGTTTATTACCTCGTCATTCGACACAAATCGTTTACCACCCAGCCATATTCCTTTAGGTTCGGAAACTGTAAATAGTTGCATAAACTGTGTACCCGTGCATTGTCTTTTTTTCGCTAAATGCGATCATTTTTGCTTCATATCAGTATCGAATCTGTCTGAAAGCTCTGAATAATATTTGCTAGTGATCGTTCTACCCTTCTCAAAATAATCGATGTGAATTACTCCGCTATCTGTGGCCATAACCTTACAGATACACCTTGACCTTTTTTTTGTGTACGTTCACCCTGTTCACCGTATAGATACCAACGTTTCGATTCTTCCTTGGTCTCAGATGTATTGTGATGGAACCATGTTTTGTATATATCTTTACAAATCGATCAAACATTTCTTTGAAGTTTTCATATGGTTGCGCCACAGAATACCTATCTAGCAGGCAGTTTTTTGAAATTAATAAAAAAAAAATATTTTCTTATACCTATGATCAATCAATTTTAATTCACTTCAATAGTGAATCACTCAAATTGATTTAAACTTTTGTAAAGAGAGTTGTATCCTATTCGTGATTATTTTGATTACAAATGCAAAGAAATATAATTGTGAATAATTTTGAAAAAAAGTATTAATATTATCTCTTTTCTTCGCATATCTCATACCAAGGGTTTGTATTATTTTTTCTTCCTGAAGTTATAAAACAATAAAACTTAAAATGAAAATACAATCACCTTCAGGTGACGACAGTCATCACCCGAAGACGATTGTAGATAGTAACAATCGAAACGTCGTGAAGTAACTTGGTTTGAAATCCTTTTTAGTTTATTTTTTATTTTTTTTGCTTTTCCTTTTCAATTTCCAGTTCTTTTTTACTCTGTGATCATTATTCATTTTGGACAGAAACATTTTCCAACCCACCCTCAAAAAATTCACAAATCTCAAAAAATTGAAAATATATTTTGCAGGTCGGCAGAAATTTTCGCAGGTCAGGTCTCCCACACATGAATCTCGGCTGAAAAATTTTCCAAACTCCACCCAAAAAGTTCACGAATNAGTAGTTGTGCTGGGTAAGTATGCTCATTATCAAATATAATTTGATAATAAAGAAGACCTTATTTTGTATTTGATCTCAATTTTAGATAAAAAACATTCTCTTTTCATAATCAATAAATCACAAAAAATTTAATTTAAATGCTACTCAGTACAAAAACTATGTCTTCATATGCGGATTGGTCTGTTCAATTGGTCTGTTTTTATTATCAAATAACCTAATTTTCATATACTTACAAAAAATAGAAATGCCTTTGATATATAAAATGCATGAGAAAAGTATATAACCCCCGTTTTCAAGAATGAATGGCCTTAATATTTTTTAGGTAAAACCAATTTGGACAGCATTATTTGATGTTTTTCAAGATTACTTTTTCCATTGTGTATGTACCGACTTCAGGTTCTTGTCTAAATTACTGAATGAATATTTTGAAATAGGGTTTATACTTACCATTCAGTGTTCATTATAGAAGGTCATTGCAAACCAAGGTTTTGAAAAATCTAACGCTTATATATTTATTCAATATTAATAATAATCAGGAGTTTGACAACAAGAAAAGAGACACAATACCCCAGTAACAATTTCTGCAATACAGAATCCTAATTGCATAGCACATATAATGTATTCAAAACGTAATATTTCACTTTGCCAAATCATTAAATACACAACACCTAGCACAGATGGAATCGTTAGTAATATTCCCAGTATCACTGGCCACTCTGAAAAATATACACATTTTACTTAAAAAATAAAAAATCTCATTGAATAATACTTACTTTTTTCAGTGAGATTCCCCCGTCTAGCTAAAATTACTCTCAATATTTCTATGAAACATATACTTAACAACACACCGAAGTCAGTAGAAAAATGATGCAAATTATCAAAATTAATATACTTCACGGCATTCATTCCTAATTCGCAAACTGCAAACAAACCGAAATAGTAAGAATTCAAATAAAGTAAAACCTCGAACGTTAAGGAGACGTTCATTATCTATTTTTCTTATTGAAATGTTTGTATGGACTAGTACACAACAATATCGAGTTTGGATCAATACCGAATAGGCGGGTCTTTTTGAGTTACCAATAAACATTTTTTCAGTAATTGGCAACACTGATGAACATATTACCGGTGAATGTGATGCTAGAGGAAAAAAAGGTGACTATAAATTTACCATGGACCAATGAATACTACCTTACCTTTGTCCATGAAATTTACCGTATATATATATTGTAATACCTATGACTGTCCTAGAAGACAAAAGATCACCATTTTATTATATTCAGTTAAGTGTAAATGGTATATTTGATGATTACACTTTCATAACTTGAGCTCACATCAAGTTCTATACTGCATAACTACACGAAAGAAATATTTCCTCATGAATTTTATTGTTGTAGTATCTGTTACAGAACCTTTTTTAGGTTACGGTTAGTTCATCGATACAATACGGTCACAGAACTGTGTTAGCCATAGACATGATAATATTAACTAATCGTGACGTCACCTACGTATCACAACGATTTGGCCACTGCTTCAAGTCTCGAAATTTTCATAATGGAAGTATGCAACATACGGAAGCGCAGAAGCGACATCAATCTCGAAACTTCGACTTTACTCTGGAAATTACGACCTTAAGCGCGAAATTTTGATTTTGGAGTAATTTCGAAATTAAAGTCGAAATTTCGAGAAATAAATAATAAAAATTTGTGATCGTTCTGCGCTTCCATAGCAAACATCGTGACGTGAATTTGACGTTAAGTGTATGAGTGACGTAAATGTAAAGACGTGAATCTCTTCATCTTTTTTAGTTGTTGAAGTTAATGGTTTTTCGACTTATGACGTCATTGGTGTTACCAAAGAGTAAAATATATAGTCTCTGGTGTTACGATGCGATCTTTCTTATTGAGTAAATGAATATATTCATTCGTTTAAAATACTGCACAAACCATGGCCATGGGATCAGTGTGAAAGGCGCATTTCAAATGACAAAAAAATGCACGATAGTAATGTAAATCTCACAAAGTCACATTCACTTCTAGTTCTAATTGCCTATAAAAAAGAATCTCTACCGACGATAACGCTAGACATGAGAAACTGATGAATAAAATGAATTAATTTCACTCATGGAAAGTATAAGAAACCACAACAATATATGAAAATAGCTGACAATACTTTTACCTGGCATTGTTTCAATATGTCATCAAGAAAAAATCTAATAAAAATAGTTGATCTATTTCAAAATAGAGACTCAACACTTACTGGTTCAAGATATAATGGAACGTATAATGTATTCAGTCATAAAGACTATATATACACAGAAAAGCCCGCACACGAAAAGTTGAAAAAATTGAACTTTTTTGCGATACAACATGAACTAACCTTAAGGCTAGTTCATGTTGGAACGAACATCGCATAGAAAGTGCGATTTAAAATAGCGTCGTGTTTATTGTGAAAAAGTTGAAAAAATTGAATTTTTTTGCGATTTCCGCAAAATGTTATACGTCACCATATAAAGTGGTTATATTGCTTTGACTCTCGTTTTTTAAGCCCATACATCGAATTTGAATCCGAAATGGACGAATGTGTCAGGTTGTTCAAATTATATCAACTTACCGTAAAAAGCTTCATTGAGAAAACCCGTCTTTATAGTGGGAAATATTTTCAAAAATAGAAGAAAATATGGAGAATATCACAATCTTGTGGCTGAATTAAATGAGAATTAGTGATCTAGTGAAATATTTCAATTATTTCAGGCTCACTCTTTCATTATTCAATAAATTATTGAATTTGGTTGGCCCCTCATTAAAGAAAACTCATTTTGCAAAAGAACCCCTCGCCCCTGCAGGCACTAAGGTTAAGATAAGTGGTTTGAGGACACGCTCCTATTAAACAAAACTTGAGAAAATTGTTAGTCCTATATTCTGATATGATGGAGTCTGGTCTTAAAAGTCGTAATTCGTATGAGTCGTATGTCATCATTCAGGTTCATGTAATAAAATTTAAAATTCAACAATGAAATACCTAGATATTGCCCGCTTCAACATGAACAGGGTATTTTGACAATTGAGGCAAATTTGCGGAACCGCAAAAATATTATCGCAATCGTTCTAATATGAACTCGCCTTTATGAAGGATGCGACTGTTGCGAGCACTTTGACTAAAAGCTATTTGCATAGTAGCATGCTAAAGTGTGCTATTGGCAACATTGGTTTTTATTTAAAATTGTAAAAGTAAATATTTGTATTGTAAATGTTCTTGATACCTTTTCAAATTTGTTTTTAATTGAAACTAAATATAATTTGTTCTCTCTTTTAATATTTTTAAAAATCTATAATTTTTTTAAAATTAGCTTGAATGGGGAAATGAAGTGAGTGGTTGATGTAATGGTGGAGTGTGAAAGCACAATTACTAAGGGAATATATTTGGTTTACTGAGGTCATCCATCCATAATTGAATAAGTTTCAATTCATTGTTATCATTACTTGTTGATACCCTGATCTTCCTGATTAGCGGGACCACAGACTTTTCAAGACTCCGAGCAGGACATATAAGAGATCTTGAGCAGGACCCAGGATATAATGCTGAATGAATTGGACTTCCTTGATTTTCCAAAAATTTGTCGACTCTGTCTAGAAAAGAGGGTATCAAAAAATATTTTTGAGATACCATATCACTTATTAATCATTCAAAAAATATCAAATGTCAAGGTAAATAATAAAGATTTATTAGAAATCATAATCATGAAAAAAATGAAAACGTTTCCAATGAATGAATATTTATTTCCATTATGAAAGTTTGGTTTAGAAGTCGAAAATAATTCGTGTCTAATTCAATATCTGTAGTTGTTGCAAATTAATGTTTTCATGTTAAGTCATGTTTTCATGAATGATTCAGATTTGTTCCAATAGAATTTCCAATGATATTCACTAACATTAATCATTTATTATTAGTATAGTAGTGGTAGTATGTGTACTACGGAAGCGAGTAGAGAAGGCACTAAAATAATAAAAATGCTTTTAGGTACAAGAAAATGACATCTTTCCAAAAAACATATGCGATAAGTGCAACCAGAAACTCGAGGATATCTCTCGGTTTATTGAAATGTGCAATGAAAATAATGATATTTTAATTGCCATTCAAGCAAATAAAACACAAGCAGATTTTCATGTTAAAATCGAGAACACAGTTACTACTCCAGTTCCAAGTATACAACGAAATGATCAGGATGATAAGGATTCTGTGAAATCTGATCCTATTTGTGCTGATGATTTATTCCATCAAATTAATGATTTTTCCAGGATCAGTTTTAAATGTTGTATCTGTGAATGGACAGGTGACAGCAAAAAAGCTTTAAAAAAGCATGAAAATGAGCATCTCGAAGTATTGACAAACACTAACATAAAAAAATGGAAATGTACTAACTGTAGTAAGTTGTTTCTTAAAAAAATTGATTTACAACGTCATCAACGAATCCATACTGGTCTCAAACCATTTTCTTGTAATATTTGCTCAAGACGCTTCACACAAAAAAGTACTTTGGATCGTCATATTATATCTCTTCATTCAAAAAGTGAGATACAAAAATATAGTTTTCAATGCTACATTTGTGAAAGAAAATTTGCCAGGAAGGACCATTTAGAAGCTCATATGATAAATATTCACATTAAAAAGCAGAATAATACATCTCTTGATCTCAATGAATATTTAGACCTGAGGTCCTGTAGAACATGTGGTAAAACTTTCAGTATGTATTCTTACTTACAATGCCATCTGACAGTACATGAAGATGATTTCAAAATCAAAAAACACAAGGGTACAACCAAAAGCTTTCGATTCACCACCACTTCAAATTTGTGTTGTATTTGTGGAAAAACTTTTGAGAAACGAAAAACATACCAAACGCACATGCGTAGAAATCATTCAAATAAAAAGTACCAAACAAAACCTAGGTCACAAATCATTCAAAAAGACCACTTTCAGTGTTGGCATTGTGGAAAAATTTTCTCTACCCATTCAAATTTGAAAGTTCATATACGTATACATACAGGAGAAAAACCATATGAGTGCAAATTCTGTGGTCAAAAATTTTCTGCTTACTCTACCTGGCACGGTCATGAAAATATTCACACTGGAGCAAAACCATTCCAATGTGATTATTGTAAAAAAGGTTTTAGACAACGTGGTTCTTTGAGAAAACATTTAAGATCATCAGTTCATAAAAAGTTATTGAATATTTAATCATTTGAAGATATTTTGGTGTACCTACTTCTTTATAACACTTCATTGTCCAAGAATTTCTAAAAAAATTGACTGAAATTACTTGATTAAGAGTTTGTATATGCCTCTAATACACACTAGTATTCCAGCTCCATTTCTAATTAATTAACCAAACTTTGTGAATTGTATAAAGGTATGTTATAAGAATGGATCTTTCACAATGTGTGAATAAAATTGTAAACGTACTATGTAATGTATGCCTTTGACCTTATGTTTTCAGCACAATTTCTAAATATGAAGCATATAAAAACACAAAGAATTGCAAAAGACTTGATGCATGCTTAGAAGGTGATGTCAGGACTGAATTGAGTCACTTGTCTATTTAATTATTTGAACTTTTAATTAATTATATGTACATTCCATTTAGGCTTACATAACTTGCAGTTTAGATTGATTTAAGATCTTATGTATTTATAATATAGTACATGGTTGGAAGTAAAATTAATAAAACATGTTGAGTCAGTCGGAGTCTGCATCTTTACACTGATGTCACTGATCCTGAGATAGTGGTATGCCAAATTTATGCAATTGTATTTAATTGGTGCTCCTCTTCAAGAAATAAAGAATGTTGCTAATGATGAATAATATTTTTAGATACTTATATTTAGTTGGTTATAGCTAATGAAAACTAATATACACTGAAATCCTTCGGGAATCCTCTCACTTAAGAAACCATTGATAACTGTTTTCATTACAGACAGAAAGGTGAAGCAAAACAAGATATATGAAATTTCAATTTGCACAACTCAAAGAATAAAAAATTTTAAGATGGCGGAAAGTGAAGATACGTGTTTTTAGTTCATCTTGCAAATATTTGAAAATTCCAATACTGTTAATGATTTTGACACAAATGGTATTTTTGAAAACACCACTGACTACAGACAAATCAGGAAAATGAGAAAAAGAACTACTGCGGAAAATGAATCATCAGCAACTCAAGGAGAATAATAGATTTGTTGAAGAAAAATTGATCACAAAACACAAGTCCATTTTGAGCCCAATTTCATCCTAAAAAATATGAATCTCCATAAATGTACTGATAAAGTCTTGGGTGTAAAAGTACAAAACAAGATTTTAGAATTGTTCTGTAAAAAGAATGATGCAAAACCTGCTGATAAAATAAAACTCAGTGCAAATCTAGTAATTATCAAAAGGATTGACAGACAAGAAAAATAATATAGATAAATTAGAAATTCAGTAGAAAAATATTTTATGAAGAGCATAATCTACCTAGATAAGTAAGAATAGAGTAAACGGGATATGAAAACCGACAAAAAGTTAATCATAAAGGAAAATTCAAAGGAGGGAATCCAAAAGTATGGTCATTTTTATATATGGTGAAAAAATATAACTGAAGAAGATTTTGCAGAATTTCACAAACTACACCTGACGATTTGATAGCAAAACATGTCGTAATATTTTGGAAAATTAAATTTGTGAAGATCAAATCGTTAGGTGTAGTTTGTGAAATTACTATGGATCTTCATGAAGTAACATCCGAGTCAATCAGAAAATTTCGCAGAATATTAAGAAAACCAGACTGGGAATGGAAAAAATAACTAATTATACTTTGAAAGACATTTCTTGTGGAGAAGTCGATGTGTCTTGGTCTCTGATCCAAAATTACAGGCCCCAGGTGGAATATAACTGAAAGGTTCCAATCAAAATTATATGCCAAGTGTCTTATTCCAGACAAAATTGGAAAGCGGACAGATTCTGATAGTGACAAATACCTCAACTGATTTTTAGTGTGCACATTCAAAAAGAGCTATGTAAAACTCAATTAAACCTTTTTTTTTTCATTTAAGTATTCGGGGAATATCAAAGAAAGTTTTGGAATTTGAAATTTCACATTTGTTATATGAATATGTCGTTTTCTATTTTTACCAAAATTAACTAGGAGTTGATTCGTGAATTATAAAATATCTATCTATTGAAAAAGATTTCAAAGAAAGTTTTGCTATATATAACTAGAATAGACAGATCAATTAGAGTTATGTTAGGAGAGGTTAATTTTTTGGGAAAGGTTTTCTATTTCTCCATCTTGATACAAACAAATGCGGAGATCTTCCAAAGAAAGAAAGCAGCAAATAATTTAAAAAAAGTAATTCTAAATAAAGATGTGTAGATTATGCAAAGAGCTTTCGGACACGAACTGGAAGAAGAAGCCTTCTCAAAACAACTACAAACATTAAATTACACAAAAAAGTACTTTCGAAACAAATACTTTTATATGAACACAGGTAGTTCACTATTCAGTTTGTATTCCACACATTCGTTATGGAATCGACTTGAATCCTGAGAATGATATCTAATTCAATTCCATAAAGAATGTGTGGAATATAAATTGAATAGAGGAAAGTGTTTTTTGTATAATTTTGTGTTCATGTAAAAGTATTTTTTTTTCGTGTAATTCAATGTTTATATGAAAGAAGCTGTTTTGAGAAGGTTTTTTTCTTTCAGTTTGTGTCTGAAAGTTACTTCTTTGCATGATCTACACATCCATGTATAGAATAACTTTTTTGAAATTGATTGCTTCTTTCCTTTCTTTGGAAGATTCCCACATTTGTTGTATCAAGATGGAGAAGTAGAAAACCAAAACTTTTCTTTCCCAGAGATTTTAGTGTAACCTGATATGTCCCCTTTATTTCAATTATTAACAACATATCCCCGAACATAAAGTTTACATATGGAATTGAAAACAACGAGTAGTTACCATTCTTGAATGTTACGAAAAATGAGAATTGAAACTTTCAATGTTTTTATACCACTTGTATTTGAGGTTGAGTGAAAGAACAACTCAGTAGCACTTGTGCTAACTGAGTTGAACTTCGCCTTTTGTTATATCAGCAACTAGCTCTGTAATTTATCTAAATATTTATATGTAACTACAGCTGGGAAACAATAAAGACAATTTTTTTATACCGAAGTATGCGCTGGTCAGGCCCCATCCCCTGAAGCCCCGATACATTCGGGAGGGCGCGCCAGCATTATCAACCAACGACCACTCCCCACACCGTGGGGTGAGTGATCATTGGGTACGAGAATCATGTGCCCTGAGCAAACGCAGCGAGCCAAGAATGACAGCCTTCTGCATCTGTCCGGCTAAGATTTCTGTCTTAGTGGGTATGATTTTAAGGTTCGAGAGTAAAGAGGGCATCATCCCACCAAACTCCAATAATCAGAACAACCATCTTGACAGATAGACAGATGGTCTATCTGTCAAGATGGATAGAGTGTAACAGTTTAACGTTACATCATTTATAATAACTGAATTTATCATTCATATGAGCCCACTATCTAGTGACCTAGAGTAAAACATTGGATTCGTTCAATAAATCAATAATAATGATTTCGTACATATCAGAGCATCTTGCGGAAGATAGCCGAACCATAAACCAAATATACAACGCTTATATTTTTACAGAACGCAATGTCAAGTTCGGGTCAGCGCGGAGTTCGAAGGGATAATCTCTATATTTTAGCCGTTTCTCCTCCTCTTTTTGGACGATATTAGTCTCGCCAGGAGCTGAAAACTCCACGACAAATATCGTCTTGCTCTGGTGGTCGAGAAGGACTACATCAGGCTTATTTGCTTGTATGAGCCTGAGGGTGGGAAACGAAGAGTTTCAATAAATTCGGCACTTCTCGTTCTCCACAATGGATTCAATATCCCCCGAAGCGTAGGGCAACACCGGTGTCTCGTCAATACCGTAAGAGTGCCGTAGATGGTAATATAGCACTCTCAGTTATGTTATGTCGATGGATATAGGCCGAGACCACATATGCTGAACATGCTGATAGCAAGTGCATTAGGGTCTCGTGCGCCTCGCGGCAAGCCCTGCACCTTGTGTCAGGAACCTCTATACCCATCACGCGACTGCGGTAGACTAAGGTGTTAAAGACACCATCATGACAAGTATTGATGAACCCCTCAGTTTCCGACTTCAGCCCACTCAACCTGAGGAAAGCAAAAGTCAGGCGCTTTGATAAGCCAAAGTCTCCAATGTTATTGAAGAAGACCCCATCCATCATGCATTGGCTTATCCTTGTGTTTCCGCAGAAGTGAGGTTATCTCTGCGGATTTTATATGAACAGGTTCCAACTCGGTGACAGAGTTGTGGTCACCTCGTTCAGTGTCGAAAACTATACCGAGTTCATCAGCTGCTCGGGCAGCTGCCCTATAGAGAAATGCGAAAGTATGTGTCTATCATAGTGGTGTCTGTTGTGTAAACAGTGTGTGGTTGACTGGGTAGATATCAATCAGATTATTTCAATTTGTATTGCTTTCATACTTTCAATAAAGTTGCTATAGGGGGCTTTCTGGTTATTATATACGTAGTAACGGCTACATCCATCAATTTATTCTTAAATGTCTCAGTGATTAGAAGTAACCAGGGTATAGAATATGATGTCTATAGGAAAAATACCAGTATACTTTTAGATATATTCCTGATAGCATACACCATTGTCTACAACACGAATTGCAGGACTAATCTTGTCATAGTTACTTTCCTCTAAGGAAATATACGATATTGACAAAAATGTTATCAGGGACATAGCTGAAAGCGACGATTATCCCTCAAATATAGTAGATGAGTTAAACAGAAAACGTAAATTTAGGGAGTGTTCCAAAATCTAACTTTTCTTTAGTACGAACCAAGATACACTACGGATCAGATCGAATTTTATAAACGTTGAACGTGAAAGTAGCATCAAAAACGTCTTGCTCATTCCAACAAATGTCAGCTAACTTTAAAGAAGATATTGGAAAATAAAAAATCTGGAATATATGAAATAAGCTTCGAAGACTGAAAAAAATACATCGGTTAGACTAAGCGAGTTATTAAAACTAGTTTGAAAGAACAAGTAGCAAATATTCGATTTCTAAGACACTATATAGATTTTTGGATGCTTTCGGAAGTCTGAAAAAAATTAACGGGAACTTTCAGGAAAAAATTTCCCTCGAAATTCTACCCGAAATCATTGATGTATGTCTGAAAGTGTACCCTGATAGATATGAATGAAGACAAGGTTCAAAGTTAGAATTGGTCTTCTTTATCTCCTAAAGACGACAACTTGGTTGTTAAAACGCGCGTCGAGAAGAGTGTTGCAGTTCTGGTGTTTGGAAACTGCTCGTTTTGTATTTATTTCACGACAGAGGTTCCAGTTATACCTTCCATTTCAGTATTGATTGTTGATGTCGGGGGGCAATCACCTTTTCCTCCACAAATCCGCCCTTGACTGAACCACGACCTTCTCATAGAAGGAGTAGGAGGGTAGCTAATACATGTGCGTTGCTTCATATTTGCTGAATAGAACTTGAACTGTTTGCATTGAATTAGTCACTTAAAAAATAATGAATATATTATAAGCAGTACCCCAAGACTGCATGTCTGAAGAAGCTGTCTGTATTAGCGAAACCTCATGGAAGAAGTTCCACAATACGACAGCCCTCAAACTCGACCAAAGATACTGATATAGTAGACAAAGTCGTGAAAGCCTAAAAAATTCTATATTAATGACTAGTTGATTATGATAATTAATACAGGCTGATTCACGGTGGATGGCACATTAGTCATTTCTGATGACCCAGACAACAAATCACTTTTCAAATTCAATGTAGAGCATATTCAGACCTTTCCTACCCAACTGAAATATTTTCGGCAATGCCACTTCCATTAGGAAAAATACAGTTTTTTCGTTTGCTTGAGAAAGTGAAGGAAAGTTGATTATTTCAAATGGAACATCCTGTGTATTATTACAAATTCAAAAACTTTTAAAATAAGTATATCATGCGTATACCTAACTAGTCAAGTTTCGGACTTATGAGCATTCATTTGTGAAAATGTCCCTTCAGAATGGTATTCCCATTCGGTGTTTAATAAGCAGGCCATGATTACTATTTGACAGTAACGTTGTGACATTCTCTTAATAATATTGACATTTTCGTCACTCCAGAAGTTTCAAATACCTCCAAAACGATGGAACAAAACTTTTCAAATGTAGTTCTTATGAAATTATTTATTACTTTAGGACTGCGGAACATGTAGAAAGTTCAACGAAGGGTATCCGAATCTACCGAAAATGAAAAAGAAATTTATACGAATTCTGAACACTTCCATTAGAAAGTAGTAGCAACTTAAATCAATGCCAGAAAGTTCTGGTTTGTAATATTGGTGTTCGATAATACGTCCTGAAAATCAATCATTTGGGCGTCGAGAAGAAGAGGGGTCGATGATACAGGCTGCAAATAGATATACCGAATGCCAAGAGGAAGATTAGTAGATATACACGACCTTTATGGGGGACACGAGTAGCAACGGGATATCCTCGGGGTAGTTTCATCCCCATTATAATTNAATCAAAGTTGCTACTGCTTTCTAATAGAAGCGGCAACACCGCATTGTCGAAAATATTTTAGTTGGCTAGAGAATGTCCGAATATGCCCTCCATTAAATTTTCAAAGTGATCCAATGTCTGGTTCACCAGAAACGTCTAATGTGCCATCCACCGTGAATCAGCCTGTATATACCTGACTTCTATGTGAAATATTTAGCTCTGTTCGATTTACTGTAAATATCTAATGAGCACCTAATTAGCATTTTATTCTCATACCCTTACTCATCGAGGAACGTACTGTAAGAACTCAGTCAATCAGTCATAGTGATTTTCCATAATGCCCCATAGGCATTATGGAATCTAGGTTTACTATCATTTATCTAGTGAGCACCTAATAAGCACTTTAATTTCTTGCCCTTATTCATTAAATAACGTACTATAAAAACTCAGTACATCAGTCATGGTGGTTTTCAGGTCCATGAGACCCAAAGGCATTAAAGAATCTAGTTTTACTATGAATATCTAGTGAGCACTTAATTAGCACTTTATTTTGATTGAGACCTGATTCTTAGATCTGTTGTTTAGCGAAATTGGAAGCTTTTGTTTATTAATTAGAAAATTTTACGATCCTCACCGTTTAGCACCTAATTAGCACCTAATAGTGTTCCCTCAACATTCATTATTTCATTATTATTTTCATTGCGTTGCTAGCATCACATAATGCTAGCAACGCAACTTTGAGTATTGAGTTGCGGTGTAAGTAACAGAGCACCTAATTTTTGACTTCGGTACCTAAAAAGTACCTAATTTTGTCATTTTCTAAATGCGATTTCCGTAATTTACGTTGCTGGCGTAACAGAGCTGAAATATTTGCGTTTTGTGAATCTTTTGGGAATATCTTCAGATCGTCAAATAGCTTAGAAATTATTTCAATACCTAACTTGGAATCGAGTGAGTATTTCCAAACAAAAGCGCGACCTTTCTTTGGCTAGCTGGGTGTTAACAATCAACTGTTGAAATACAAGACAAACGTAGCTTATAAAATATTTTAAAACAGATAAAAACGTATACAATGCCGGTTTCAAACTGTGAACAATATTACAAATAACGGGCATAACTCAAGGTATATGATGACAAATAATCATAGTTAAGCATTCTATTTCATGAACCAGAATATTTAAACATGTAAATAGTTTCATATCAATTCCATTTCCGCGAATAAATCTTACTGAGGCTTTTCAAAAAACATACCCATAAAACTTAATTAATAGCTGTAAATCAACACATTAATATAATACTCGCTTTTGCGAGTAAATCACAGAAAAAAACTCGTCATGGGTCGTTTCTATTTAACACATTAAATGACTAACACAAGTAAATTGGTAATAACATAATATTTTCCTGAACGTATAATTAATCGACACAATGCTATCCTAAATCCAACCAAAACCAGAGTGCATTATATGATCAGAAGTGGTCAACGTTATTTGAGATCTTTTACGATCTCCCCCTCGCTGGAGTGCCACAGGGGGCCGTGCTCTCTCCGACGCTGTATTCACTCTACACCAGCGACCTGCCTAGGTCCGAGCGAGTGAAGATATCCCTGTACGCCGATGACACGGCTCTTCTCTCATCTTCCATGGGTCGAGAGCTCGGCGTCGTCTACATGCAACGTGCATTGGACGACCTCGAGCGCTGGTACCTCGATTGGAAGATCCGAGTAAACCCGGAAAAGACTCAGGCGATAACCATGGGAAGATTACTATCTTCTCCGGCCAGAAAAGTCAGAATCTCTGGAAGGGAGATTGACTGGCAAGCGCGGGTAAAGTACCTCGGCCTTCTAATAGACCGTAGGCTCACTTGGAACCCGCACATCATGTACGTTAAGTCTAAGATCCAAGGGTCGGATAGCCAATATGTACCCTCTGATCAACAGAAAATCAAAAATGAGCACGAAGAACAAAATCATGATCTATAACACGATGTTCAAGCCTGTCATCATGTATGCTTCAGGCGTCTGGGGACAAGCGGCTCCGTCCAACATTTCCATTTTGGAAAGGTTGCAAAATAAGCTAATTAGGATGATTGTGAATGCTCCTTGGTTCGTGCGGAATGAAGCCATCCGCAGAGATTTGCAGCTGCCTTCCATTCGGCAGTCCATCCAGTCGAGGAATGAGAGAGTTTTTGAAAGAACGGAAACTCATGAAAACCCGTTAGTTAGGGAAGCCACGGATTATGCTGTAGACGACCCCTCCCGATATAGAAGGCCCCGACACTCTGTCGAATGAGGCCCTCATGTCCCCCGTTAACAGATGAATAACTTTCTCATCCATCCCACCCCAGCCAGGTAGGGGTATTCCGTGAAGGGCGGCACTGATGTCTAAGGACTTCATGCCGTCATCAATCAGTCATGAACCCATTGGTCCTTCTCGAGACCAACAATCAGTCGAAAGGGTAGGGGAGCTGGTCTCCAAACCTGAAAGAATTGAAGATGACATTCTGGTTTACGATCTCCCGTTATCAAAAGCACCGTATAGAAATAAACATTTCTATACGGTGTCAAAAGTCAAAAGGTACATAAATACATCAATGGTGTTTGCCAGTCACTAACAATCGGGGTGCTTAAAGATAGTGTACCTATAAAATGAGCGGTAATCTCGTAGGTACTTAACAAACCGTGGTATGAAGGCGAGATGGTGTTATAACAGCTTATATCTAATAATTAAAATGCATAAACAATAGAAATACATATTTGCACATGGGTGGCTCTAGTTACCCAAGAGATCGGAATATTCAGTACAGATATTTTTCAAAAGATAACTAGGTTGATTCTTATCAATGACCCACACTTGCTCTTGGAAAATCAGTTCAACCTTTCGCAAGGTCGTTTGTTGTTTACGTTTTGAACCGACCCACTTTTAGACCTTTTTTTCCGCACAGATGTTTTCTCTTTCGAGGCTTTATCTAATTTTTCTTTTGTCACAAGGAGTGAGGTGCCACAGAATAAGTGAAGACTGCTTGAATTTGTTGACGCCGGTACGTGACAGACGATTTTAAAGTGTTTTCGAAGGTTCATACCGAACAATCCGTTGTGTAATCTTTTACGTAATAATGAGAGAATGTTTCTCAATTGGATATGGGCTTAAATCTATCCAAAGATTATCGATAAAGCACAATCTACCACTCTCGCATGGTTTTAGATGATCTTCATAACAGGGACCATAAATTTAGTTTAATTTTTGAATAATATAGGAAGTTCATTGTAGCATTTATCCGTTCAGCAGATTTCTACCATGCAAGGCACTTGCCCTCTGGTCTCTGGTCTCCTGCACAAGCTGGCCCTCAGTATGGCCCGTGGGGCCATACTGAGGGCCGTCAGGCCATACTCTGAGGGCCGTCAGCTAATGACATGCTGAAAGCTGAAGTAGAACCATCATGTACCTGTACAACGTCTTTTCTTTTTAGCTGATTCATTTTTTAATTAGGTACACTATTTTTATTTCCTGTATTTTCATGATGGGGGATTTTTTTTCCACAAGTTGATATTGAATATCCAAAATGTTGAATCTCTTGTTTGAGATCGATTTGAATTTCATACAAGTTTTTTCTTATCTGTTTATAGTGCCTGCTGGGTATTATTCACTTCAAAACAGAATTTCAAAATTTTTCAGGTGTTGCCACATATATTTTGGGCTTTAGAAAGCTCAGTTTGAAAAAATAATTGTGCTAAAGCTGAGCTTTATTTTCTAGCCGAGCTTCATCAAATTTGGATTTTGCATGATATATGGAGAAAACGGCCCTAAACCGCCAAGTGGAGGCTTATTAGCTTTGAGCGGACTTGCAACTGATTATTGACACAGTGCATATAAAATCTATGAATAAAGCGAGCCTCAAGGTCTAAGATAGGCTCATTTACTATACGGAAATAGAGCGCTTCCTACTGTTTCTCCCTATGTATGCTTAGATCTTTGAAACTACGCAACGGATTTTCATTCGGGTTTTTTTGATAGATAGAGTGATTCAAGAGGAATGTTTATATGTATACCCATGCATGTAATTTGAACGAATATTTTCCAAGGTATTACAGATTTAAATGCAGGGACATAGCGGTTGCGGTGGTACCGGCCGGGGGGTCGGCGAGGCGTGCCTATGAATAGCGCTTCGTCCTATAGTAATTTTTGATTAGCAGGGATCGTACGCGTTGATATGCATATTTAGTATCAGCATTGCACCCGTATGGAGCCGGGGCGGCTCACTAGTATTATCTAAATAAATATCGAGAGCAACCCTGTAACCAGCCAAATTTTGACATTTGACATCCTTTTCACTAACACAAATTGATATTTCCGAAGTAGTAAACAAATTTTCAAGATTCCTTTTGAGAACATAAAAAGTAATTCTACCTGTAGTTTTCATAAAAATGTTCTTGCAATAGAAGTATTCCACGAAGTATGCAATACTAGTGTATTTCTCTAAAGTGATCATCATTTACCTACTTGTTTTTTTGTAGATGGGGGACAAACTTCGAAAATGGAGATATCGTCGAGATTTTTTAAAATTATTGCATAGCCGAGAAAATAATGCCGAAGCTTCCAAATTTCTGAAGATGCATTCTCAATTCACAGATAACCTTGTCAAACGACTTGGGCTAGAGTATGAACTCGAAGGACATCAAGGTTGTGTGAATTGTTTAGAATGGACTGCAGATGGAAAGTAAGTACTAATGTTATTGTAAATCTGGAAGACTGAAAGCTGGATTTAAAGATCAATGAAGGCATCGTAAGACGTGCATTAACACAATCGTAAAAGGCAAAAGTTCATTTCATACATCAAGCACAGTAATGTTCAGTGCGATTGAACTATAGCACTCTGCTTGTGCAAAACAAGAAAACTCTCAAGTTCTTTTCTATTTCACCCATGTTGACGATGATTAATAAATTGCTAAGACCCAGCAAATGTCAAAAATAAGTGATTAGAAAGTAAACTAACCATAAAGGTATTATTCTGCTCATCATCTTGATCTCTTCCAGGCTGGAGCCATGCTCCCCTACCCTTTGGACTGGTAGGTATTATTCTGCGTTACATGAACATTCAATTACATGAAAATAATTGTTTCCCTTCTGTTTGTATTTCAAATATTCATTCATAAGAACACTTTCGATGTTTCCCATATATCTTATTCAATTATGGAGAAGTAGAAAGCCAAAAACTTTTTTCTTGAAAAGCTAGTCTTTCCTGAATGTACTCTCTTTTTAATATTTACTTCCTCACTACTATATTCTCTCACTACTGACTTGCTGTAAAGTATAACCTGTCTGTACAGTCAAGTAGTTAAAAAAAAAAATATTTTTTTCAGGTATCTAGCATCAGGTTCAGATGATACAAATATCATTTTATGGGATCCATTCAGGCATAAAAAGCTGCAAGTCATTCCAACCAATCATATTGGGAATATTTTTTCTGTTAAGGTAAAGATAGTTTTTGATTTCAGCAACTTATAAACTAATTACCATAGGTTTAAAGTGGTGGAACTTTAGGTTTCAAGGACTAATTGAATTAAGATTTCATGTAACAATAGAAGTGCTAATCTAATTAATTTCAATCGACCATTTCTCTGATACAAAATACATAATCTGAAAAATTAAAAGTGAGTTTTCGAGAGGAAGAGTTGCACTTTAATGAACTCTTTGAACTCATTCATGTTTTTGTCCCTTTCTAAAAGTTTTGACCATCCTTACATCTTAGTATTTTTTTATACCTCCAAAAAAATTTAAACAAATATTCTCATGGTATATTTGAAACTCCGCCATATTTTAACTTCACAGCAGGTAACTAAATCTCTGTTATGCTTGAACTAGGAATTGCAAGGAATCCGTATCAGTGAGTTGACTGGTTAACTGTGCAGAAATATTTGCGTTACAAATTATAATTACCTGAACAAACAAACCTCAATATTCGTACAATCAATCAGTTGAACAAAGAATTGCAATTAGGCAACTTGGTCTCTTAAAATATTTGTCACGCCTCTTTACTGGTGAAATTTTTGGTAGTAAAGTTGTAGAATATATACCTTTCGTACAAAATATATTGGCATAATAGTTATGTGATAAATCCAGAAAACAAGAAATTATGCGAAACTAGCGCCTTTCTCAAACACCGGAACTGCAATACTCTCCTTGAAGCGTGTTTCACCAACCAGGTTGGTGACTTGATTGATGAAGAGTATTTTTGTAAAAGTGCTTGTTTTGAATTTATTCTATGCTGGAGGTTCCAAGTGTAACTTTTAAAAAGAGATTAACTATTTTGAAAGTATTTAGGTCAGAAAACAGGTGCTGTAATTTATACTCGCACAAGTTGGCACAATGGCTACATGAGTTTTCAATATATTTTACTTTGAGGTTGTTATGACCCTGAATATATATAATATTCATTCCATTATATTTTTTAATATAATATACCCAACGTCATACCCAAATTATGTAAATTTATCCTAAAATGAAGTGAATTTGCTGTTTAACTAATAGTCAGTTTATAACCCCATATTTGTTAAAAGTACTGCAAAATCGCCTCAGAGTAAAGTCTTTCTCTAGTACTTGAAGAATTTTCTGAAAATTCTTTAGACATTTTATTAAAATTGGACACAATATATTCTGTACCTTTTTGAAGTTTTCAAACTGCATTTTTCACACCATCAAAATATCATCCAATTGCCAGCTTTCATCTGATTTCAATTCTATAATTGACGAAACTTTAATGTGTACACTATACAATTAAACCCAACTTCAATTCACTAGTGTGCTAATGCCCTTATAAAAATAGAGCTGGTATAACAACTCTCTGAAAGATACGGTTTCGAGATGAGAGGAGACACAAGTGGGGCTGAGCGAGACCTTGACTGAGTCGCAGTTGATCAGAGAAGAACAGCGTAGCCCGGCCCTTTTTTCTCAGGAGATAATTTAAAACACTACCCCTGTTCCTAAAGTTGTTCTCTTGAAAAACATCATGATTCATATAAGGACTCATTTGTTTTATACTTGCTTCTGGGTGACAATTGGATTCTGGCACCGACTTTTTGTCAAATTATACCTTCATCCTGTCTTTGGAAAGCTGTCATTTGAATCTGGCAAATTTGTAGATGAGTTCCAGTCTCTTCAGTTCACTCACATAATTCGAAAAAGGTACCTTTTTGAGATTCATGAGATAGGCTGCCGCATATTACGTCTATCGGAAATTTCAGTACTCGACCAGTTAACAACATGTATGGTATGTAGCCTGTCGCTACACGTTGAGGGCTCCTATGTCAATAAAAAGGGAAGAACCAGTATATCCCAGTCTCTATGGTTTTCGGAGACAAACATCAAGAGTTAGTTGTTTATCCGTCCCGTTTTTGCCTGCTGCCTGTGCTTGGTAGTCTCTTACTATTCCTGCCTCACTTCTTTGTCAATTCATTCTTGAACATTTTTTAAGACAGGTTCCTCCTTTTGGGCTGGTCATGAAGGTAGTGTCACCCTTGGGAGCTGGTCACACCATTGTCAGGTGATGAGGAGTCACGTACATAGAGGAGCTTATTTCCCTATCAGAGCTGTCCATAAAAAGGTCTCTTCTTGCTACTCTGTCACTTCTGAAGGAAAGTTCTTCTGGTAACTGAGTATCCTTGTCCTGAATGGATTTGCATCCGGATTTCAGGCATGGTCTTCCTGAGAGTCTATCTGCGTTTCCGTGAGTTTTCCCATTCCTATGACAAATTTCAAAATCATAATTTTGTAATTTTTTGCTATTGCTATTTGTTTATCTGGAGTTTTGAAGAGCTGAGTGGTCAGACCTCATCAAGAATTTAAGGCCATATAAAAAGGAGTGGTAGTGATCCACCGGATTAACCACTGCTAAGAGATATTTCCTAGTGATGCAGTAATTTCTCTTGGATGTTCCCAGGGATTCACTGAAATAGTTAATAACGACTTTTTTTCTTCTTCTTGTATTTGAGAGAGTACTACATATGTATCAAATATAAAAAAGCACTTCTCGGGTATGCCAGAACTGGGGCACCGGTCAAATGTCTCTTCAGGACAGTAAATGCTTGCTGGTAGTCTGAAGACTAAACAAAGGGAGTTCTCAGTCAAGTTCTTCTCGAAACTTCGATAATAGCTACAGAGTCCAAGGAAAATTCTTGTTATGCTTGCACTTTGGTGTTGGCCATTCTTGCACTGCTTGATTTTCTCTGGGTTTGTTTCAACCCTCAACGTGGATCCAAGGCGGAAGAGGTAGCTCTTCTTGGGATTGATCTGCAAATGAGTATTCCACAGCTTTGTGAAAACACTTCTCATTTGACAGATGTTCGTCAAGTCAAAACTTTTCCCGGTCACTCTAATGTCATTAAGATAGATCTGGCATATTCTTCAGGTAAATTCTGTTAGCACCAACTTCATGAAGCATTTAAATGTGCGGGTGTATTGCATAATCCAAACGTCATGGTTTTGGACTGATATAACTCATTGCCGGTTAAAAAGACAGTCTTCAAATTGCTTATGTTGATAATGTCGGCTCTTAATACTGACCTCTTTGCTCCAGTATCGACTATTAAAAAACACTGGTGATTATTCATAAATCCAACGACAACTGAACTGTTACTGTTGATCGAAATAAAATTTGAATCAGTGCACTTTTGCCAACATAAGTCGATTAATTTCGTCAGCATACAAATTGGGTGCTCGGGATTCGATGAAATCGACGAAGACCGTTTTTGCCTAATTCTGGTTGGCGAAAGTTCTACCGTTTAAAAAGTGCTTGAAAAGATTGTAGTCCGTCGTGGAGCAGGATCAGACCTTTTCTGTTAACCAGTGCCGGATGCTGCTTTAATGGTTTGGCCCGGTTGCAGAAAGTTATGGTTAATCACACCAGCCTCTGACCATCATACAGTAACCATTGTTTTTTAAGATGGTTTTTTGTTTTTGGGAAGTGCCTGGGTGACTCATTGGTGTCTAACCACTGTTCTGAACGTCTCCTGTTGTCGTAGAGGATCCACTTTTCATCACACGTGACAATCCGATCCAATAAAGGATCGTTTGGGTTGCTCTTTGACTTTATCAGCTAGACCTTTTTTCATTAACGCTAGTTCACATTTGATTGTTCTATTTATTTTTCTTTAATCTCCAATAATTCAATAAATTCACTTTCAGATTTAGTGGCTACTTTCAAAATAATTTTTTTTCATCTCCTAATTTTTTTATGTAGATATCTTTGATTAGACTATCATTGAGCAACTCACGAATGGATGTTTCAAGTTTCAGTAAGTATTCTAAACATGTGAAAGTAATATACATATGCACACATCAATGAAACAAGATATTTATTGTTCTGTAATTTTGAAACAGAATATTATATCTTATATAGTGACAAATTATCTAAAAGAACAATTCTGACACCTATCAGAAAACAACTAGTTCTCTGGCTAATACCAGGAAGGGCGTTGGATTATATTATCTTTTAGATAATTTGGTTTACAGCCAGTCTCCAAGTATTAAGTATTAGCCAGGGGAGTGGCTAATACCACGAAGGGCGTTGGATTATATCCGACAGGTGCTAGTGCAGGATTCTTCACTGAAGTTATTCCTGCATATGCTGTTAGCAATACAACTGCCGCAATCGATTTTCAATTATTGGAACACACTTGCAGACCACTTTTGGGCTGTTTGGCCACTCGTAAGTGCAAGATAGTGCCTATCATCAACATAAGTCGATGATTTCCGATAATTGAAAATCGAATTCCTTCAGACTATCATTCCTCAGACTAGGCTAAAGCAAACGGCAAACAACATGTTCGTCCTCGCCCCATCTGCCTTTGAACGAGGTAACCAACCGCATATCTGAAATTTGACCAATTCCTCGTACAAGAAAGAAAACTTCACAAACTGAGTGGACATACTTGGCTGTAAACCAAATTATCTAAAAGATAATAATATAATCCAACGCCCTTCCTGGTATTAGCCAGAGAACTAGCTGATTTCTGATAGGTGTCAGTCCATTAACCTATAGTGTAGGTAATTTGAGACTGGCCTGAACGAATGATTCTTTTACATAATTTGGTTTACAGCTAGTCTCCAAGTATGCCCACTCAGTTCGTGAAGTTATATAGTGACAATAAAACACGATTTGAATATCAAAATCATGCTGAGTTCTGAACTAGTGCTTGTGTATATCAATGTGTAGAATTGAAAACTATTTTGGATATTTCTTTGTTGAATATATCTTTAATAACACTTCCAAAATACAAATCATGAAATTAGAGACCCAAAGGCATTAAAGAATCTAGTTTTACTATGAATATCTNGCTCCGGGGCGACTTCATTGATTCCAGTGGCGCATTTGCTTTTTCAGCTGCAAGAAAACCCGGAAAAACCTGCAGCACCACATCATCTGAATATCTTGATCTGCCAATGTTAATTTTTTATATTAAAATCATACTGTGCATTGTGCACATACATCGATTTTGTATTTGAAAAACCTGTGACAAAAGTAATTTATTTTAGGTGTCCCTAGTATTTTTATTTAACAGAAAGTTGATTATAAATTGTACATTATTTTTTTTATGAACTATGAACAATTTTAGTCTCATTTCAATTGTTTTTGAAAACCTCGTAAATTTGATTCTCTTTTGATATACCTGATGTAAATGAACTTCAGTTTTTAGGAAGAACTTGTACCGAATTAGCAACAGCTTCTGGCGATTGTAGAGTTCTTGTCCAGTCAATTAACGATGCTGTTACAAAGGGTCCTCCAATACTGGAATGCAGCTGTCATGTAAACAGAGTCAAGCGACTTGCAATATCCCCCATAGAACCTTCCTTGTTTTGGTCAGCGGCAGAGGATGGATTGGTCATGTAAGTGCTTCTTTCATAATTGTAATGTGTATCAGCAGGTTGGTTTATAATCTTGCACATTTCATGATAAGAAAAAATGTTTCAGACGTAACCTCTAAATCATACCAAAAGGCTTAAAATATCTATGAATATGCATAAAAAGTTACTGATGAGAATTGTTGAAAATTAAATGAAATTTGGCATACTCTAAATGAAAATCCTAGATTTCCCAATGTCTCTGAAAAGAAAAGAAATGGAGTTTTACAAGTACAACCTTGTTATAGCAGAAGCTGAAGTAAAATTTTCATTCTCACTGAGTCTAATCTTAAAATCCACAAACAAAGAAAAACCTGACTGAAAGCCAAAACGAAGAAGAGTCAACTACTTCTTCATTATTGATGTCTAGTATGGCTTTTCTATATCTCCCAAAAATATTCAATCTCTTCCTGGGACGAGACGTTTTTTCTAAATGAACATAATCTATAGTGATTAATACCCAACATAAATCACCAATTTTTTCAAAGAAAAATCGTAGTTTTGCCAGCATTTCTTTGGTGATGCAATTTAGTGCAAGATACACTCTATTAGTAACACTAGTTTACAGCCAATTTACGACTGCAATGCCAAAGGTAGATCTTTGTTAATTTTTGGTCCTTTAATGCGAAAATGATAGTAAAAATTTCCTAACACGTAAGATTTTTGAGTTATGATTTTTTTCACAAAAATTTAATGAACACATTCCAAATTTGCTATTCCCCTGAATTGAGGAAATTGTTTAAAATTTGGCAACACAGTGGCTCTGCCCAGTATTTGAATCTGCTTCCGCTCTATATGAGACTTGTATGTAACCCCGCTTCTCGAACTTCGGATACTCGAAGTTTCCTGAAAATACCAGCAATACGGAATCGCTATGAAAGTAGCACGTTGGCAATCGGATCATCAATATTGATTCAACACGAGTAGTGGTAAGTTAGTATCAGAGAAGTGAGGTGGGTGGAGAAGGTTTACCAGTTCCAACACCCCCGACAAATTGGGAGGAAGATTTGGAAACGTATGATGACCAAGCAGGTACCCATGATATGCCAGAAAAAGACGGTCCTTATTTTCCCGAGAGTCAAGGAAGAACACCCCATTTAATCGACCAACCTGAATTAAATGACCTAGTTCCGGACCTCCACTTGTCCAAAGAGAATGCTGAACTATCAGGGTCTAAATTATAACAATGAAATTTACCAGTCTCTAAAACCAAAGTTACAATATTTAGGAACCGTAACCATGAGCTATTCTCGTTTCTTACTATGCAGGATAAAATGCGTGTTTGTGTAAATCAATTTGGTGTGATGGAAAAATTAGGATTTGCACATAACCCGGACGAATGGCGTTTATTTATAGATTCGTTTAAAACAAATTTAAAGGCCATTCTGCTCCATAATGGTAATAAAAGATCCTCTATTCCTCTTGCACATGCAGTTGCCATGATGAAAACACACGAAAGTATGTATATACAATAAGTTATAATAAGTATAAGTGGCAAATATGCGGTGACCTAAAAGCCATAGGACTATTACTAGTACCTCAGGGCGGATTTTCGAAGTTTTGCTGTTTTCTTTGCCTTTGGAACAGTAGGGCAATACAGAGCCATTATCAAGTAAAAGAATGCCCTCCGAGAGATAAATATATTCCAGGTCAAGCTAACGTGAAGAGTATACCTCTTGTTAATCCCAGAACGTTTTCTTACCTCCATTACACAATAAACTGGGTTTAATGAAAAATTTTGTAAAAGCATTAGACAAAGAAGCTGATGTGTTTAAATATCTTAAACACGTTTTTCCAAAATTAAGTGATGCAAAGCTCAAGGAAGGTATATTTGTTGGACCACAAATTAGAAAACTACTAAATGATCAACAGTTTAATTAAAAATTAAGTAATGTTGAATTAGCTGCGTGGAGTTCTTTCAAAAGAATTGTTTCCGAGATTTTTAGGGAACAAGAAAGTAGAAAATTATTAAAGACTTGCAGAAGAACTTCTTGAAAACTACTGCAAAATGGGATGTCACATGTCTCTCAAAATTCCTCCTCCTCCTCGACATTATCCAAAACCAGTTTTGATGTAATATATAACAAAACTGATATAGATGAGAGCTTTCTGGCCTTCATGAATATTATAAGTGATGCTATCGATAAATGTTGTCCGACCAAAAAACACAAATCGTCCACTAGTAACAAACATAACTGGATAACTCCTGAAGTGAAACAGGCCAGTCTTGATTTAAAAAGTATATTTTTTTTCACACATTCAATTTATGCTGCCAGTTAATTTTTATATTTTGTGTAGTCTAGTTTTAGAAGTAGGTTTTTCTGACACTTTATATAAAGTTCATTTTCCCTATTTACAGGAACTAACAATACAGGAATCATACAATCTTTTCTGAATTGTTATTCACTGAATGAATTGAAAAGGCTGACATTTGGATCTATGTTATTGATATGTATGAATGATCGTAGCATCTTCGTACGAAGATTTGTAGAGCATTATTGTGATGAATTGAAAGTTTCTGACTGCAACTAAAACAAATCTGTGGTCTACCGCTAGGTTTTTTCAAATTTTTTTGCATGCATCTCAAATTATTTGCGTTGGAGAGGCGAACATTTTAATGGAACTATTTACCACATATACTTTTACATTCTATAGCAGTGATCCTGAGCACATAATCTTTAAAAAAATATAAAGCTGTTTTGTACACTAGGTAAGAACTTTTATTTTGTATATTTTTTTTTAGGATAGGCGATCTTTACAATGCTGCCCGCAATTTTCTTCATGTCATACAATATTGGCCCAGTAAAATACAAGCCTATACTGGTCTAATAGAAAGTTTGATTGAACTGAAGTGGATAGAGGAGGCAAAAAAATGGATCGAATATTTCAGCACCCTCCACATGAACAACAATTCTCATCCTCAGGTGAACGTATCCAGATAATAATTAATTCACCTAATTCTATGATTGATTGTTTTTTAATAGGTAACACTTTTGAGGACAAAATTGGAAAAACTTGAACACGTCAATCTGACCAAAGAGGAAGGTAAAGATGCTTCAGATGATAAAGATCGCCTCCCGAGGAGGGTGGATGATGCCGAATACAAGAAAAGATTGGAGTCAAAGGATTTCGAAGTACGGTTTTTGGGACATTGTAATACAACTACAGATATCAAAGAGGCAAATTTTTTAGGTGAGCCAACAATATTATTCAGATAATCAAGTAATATACCTAATACATACGAAATATTTATATTTTTCTGTATGCTCTGTTGTTGTTGAGGTGTGGCATCATTAACTAGATTTCAACTGAATAGACTTGGTTACAACACTTATTTCTAATTAATAATATACAACATTGCAATGCCTTCAACACCGAAGTCATATTGTATCATACTATCTCCTACTCCATCTATCAGTGGTACTTTGAACCAACTCCGACTTGTTACTTACAGAGCACTGCCCTATGACACACTTGCCAACACACCATATGCGTAAAATACATGTGACAAATCGGAATGCAATATAAATGTATCACAATACTCAACAGTTGTATTTCAACTTGGTTTATTAATTTCTATGTCAAATTCACCCTACTTTATTGAGCGTTGTCGTTCAGTTTTTGTTTCACCAAATGGATTGGATTGATGAGTCATTTATCATCCATAAAGCAAAAGTCATGCAAAATTACAGTATTTAATTAGAATACAAGGGACAGCTTCAAATACAACTTTGAAACTATTAAGAAGTTTACAGAATAAAGCTATTGGATGCATGTTTCATCTATCATTCTTAGAACCAACTGAATATCTATATAAACCAAAGCGTTTTGATTTTATTTATAAATTAAAAGTATGCACTTTCTGCAGTCCGTTATAAAAAATAAAAACCATTCCACTATGAAATTGGTAGAACAGAAATTGACATGATCATCAAACAAGACAGCTCAATAATCTGTTGACAAAAAATCTCAAATCTGCATTTTCCAGAATATTTCAAGGGAATAATTGCATATAATAAATTACCAAATGATGTTAAACAATTTTCCAAAATAGAAAGATTCAAANTCTATGGTGATTTGGTAAAACAGACTGAATAAATGACAACCAATTTGACAGATGTAGCTTCAACAAGATTGGCCGTTATTAATTGTTGAAGTTCGGAAGTCTGTGTCGGGAGACCCTAAAGATTCATTGAATCATTGTATTATTGTTTTTGTTTAATAGCCCCTCACATTAGCCCCTACCATAATAAGAATAATTTTGTCTGAAGAAATGTGTCTCGCCAAATAAATTGGAGCTTGAATGGAAAATGTATAGGTACAATTTAGAAGTGATGATATTTTGTCTTCAATTATATGGTCATCTATCTTTATAGTAATGCCCTCTTGTATTTTATTTTGATAGAATATCTTGAGTAATTTTTGAAACCACTTCTTTACACGTTTTTGTAAATATGATTTCGAAACGATTTTTAATTTCGTTATTTTCCTTTTATCTTGTGTAGGCTAGGTAACTCCTTGGACTGCCTAGACAGTAGTGTGGCTATTCAGAGTTTTGTCAGTAATGTAACTCAGAAGAGTCAATCCATATTCGACTGTATACCTAGTTTGAGGGTTGAATACCTAGTCATTGTCTTAATAATTCTTAATATTATCCTAAAAAAAAATTTGAAGAATCTGAAAATGATTTTCAAGGATATAAAATCAATAGTTAATATTGTTTGTGTATTAGGGTGACACGAAACTGATCTTATCTCATTTTCAAGAGGGTGCATTTTGCCCCTCGATTCCAGGTCAACAACATAGAACCATCTCCAGAAAACGAGCCCGTAGATCCCAACTGTGTGCAGTACTACGCTCCAGGACATTTGGCTATCGAAAACGCCAGAGCAACAAGTTTCAAATTGGCAGCAACGAATGTATCTTTCAATTCGGCTGGTTCAGAAATGTTGGTGAATATGGGTGGAGAACAAATTTATCTTTTTGATATCAACAAATCCAGGCAGATAAGTGATCTTCAAATTCCTAGATGTTCCCCCAAAAAAGAAGAATCGGTGACCTGTAAAAACTGTGCTCAAGTGAGTTGATGAAATACTTTATTATGGTAACTGGTTTTAAAACCTTCCCAAATTGGTTTACAGATTATCGTTTTCCCAATTATAATGAATATTTCACTAGATTGCTTTTGTATCCTCTTACTGCCACTGCCATATCTATAACCGATCCATCAGCACATTTAATGGAATCATAATAATTTAAAAAAATACCTGATTGAAGTTACTGGAATTTTTCAGCACAATAATTTCCCAACGGCGTGCATTGTTCAATCCAAAATCATCTCTAATTACGATAAGCCAATGTGCTTTCCGGTTATTGCCAGGATCTCAATGTATTACCAAATCATTCTTCCAACTGGATTTTGGGAAGATTTAAAAATGATAATAATAATGATTGTTCTTATTGTCAGGAGTGAGTTGATACATAACAAAAGAATACATCAGTTCAGATTCGCTGTGATTTTTCAAGTAATAGTTACTTCACCGTGATCTCTTATACCATCAGTAAATGGGTCTAAACCAAGGCATGATATAATATTATTTTCAGGTGTTTGCGAATAGTTTTGGTTCATATCACATATCACTTCAGATTCGCTGTAATTTTTTAAGTAATAGTTTTAATGATCTTCTGTGTGTTGTTTTCCTGATTCAGCTTCCTTTAGTTCTGCAGCAAGTGAGTGTTCCCCATATTCTTGAGTCTCATTATCTAGTGATTCCACCTCGCCCGTTCCTAAGTTTATGGGTACATTTGTTATATTCGTTTGCTTTGTTTCTGTATTTTTTAGACAAGAAAACTTAAGATAAATTTACAGATATACCATTTTCCAGTTCTTTTTATATTTTTTTTGTCTCGGTGATAATTCATCTTTTGAAGTACATTATTACACTCTACTACAGTTGAGGTGAAGTTGTTATACAGTACTTCTTTCATGAGAGATATATTACTATTGTATATTGTGCTGTTAATGTATTCCACCATCAGTAAATGGGTCTGAACCAAGGCATGATATAATATTATTTTCAGGTGTTTGCGAATAGTTTTGGTTCATATCACACATCACTTTAGATTCGCTGTAATTTTTTAAGTAATAGTTTTNAACGTTTTCGAGATAAACTGTTTCAAACGGAAACTTACAATTTCTTTTTTCGGTTTTTGCATCTAAAAAGAGTGTACGTACTTTGAAGTAGTTTGTCGATTTAAACAATTTTGTATCTAAAATAATAAAGGTGAACCTTTCATTTGGGTCAACTCATAAAGAAGAAACCAAGTTGAATAAAGGATAGTTTAGAGCAATTTGAGTCCAAAGATTTTGAAGTTTTTGGTTGCCATATTTAAAGTTATATGTAATGTCTCTGTCAGTATTAGTTGAAATCTTATTTTCACCAGTTTCGTCAAATAAAGGAGTTATCCAGTTTTTATCAAACCTAGAAATGTAGTACTACTATGTATATGGTTTCTAGATGAAAATTTCATAACATTTTCTCTTTCAATTTGTTTTTAAAAAAAAGTTGTTTCTTGCATAATATAAGCCCAGGCTAAACCTCGCCCATTTTTGTACACAAAAGAAAGACGATTAATTATTTACTATTATTATTATTATGTTCTTCAGATTCTTCTGATACTTCAATTCGAGGGACTTATATATTTATTAAAGCCCCTATTACATTATTATTTTTATTCCTATGACGGAGTGTTAGTTGATTAGAAAATAATTATACATTTTTCCAAAGGACGAAAATGGATTTGTCGGGAAACCGAATATGAAATATATTTCTGAAGAAAATTGTGCCTGTTTTTATTTGGAAAGAGCAAATGAATTCCTCGGCAGAAAATGGTAAGCATTTTTTTAAATAAATTTTTTTATTAAACTAAAGTCATTTTTTCTGGAGGAAAATTAGTTTTTTATCATCCTTCTTTGGGTATTTTCACCTTCCACCTTTCATAATTCCACATTTCAAAACTCCTCTGACATCTTCAGGTTGGGAAATAAAAATAACCAGCAAAGGAAAAACTGCATGTAAACTTGAATGTTGTCCATTCCTGAAGATGGAGACAGATTTTAGCCACCGAAACGTTGGGATAAGTATAGCTTCTTTTTTGATAGGCAATATTATTGAATACGATAAGTTACTTATGAATAGAACATTTTTCTTTGTGAGAAATTCTTGAATTTACGCAGTGACTTAAAGGGGTAAACTGAAAAGTTTGCCCTTTCTACATGTGTATGAAGTTCTCCATTACAATTTTCATATTTTTCAGATTGTGGAAGGTGAAAATACCCAAAGAAGGTCAATAGAAAATGTTGTTTGTTGATTTTTTTTTAAATTGAAAAAGATCCCATAGGCAGAATGTTACTGACATCCACATATGTAGATTGAAATTCTAAATACAAGGTTTCTGTTCAAAATCTCTGTTTAAAATCTGTTTTTCCGTTAATCAACTGTCGCCCCCATACGAACGACAAGTCTCAGAAGTTGAGAAACTTGTGCGAGCTAAGGACTAACGAGGTCTTACCTTTTAACGTATGATTCCTAACATGGTGTAACAAGGTGTACAATAGATTCAGAAAAGAGATCAAAATGCTCCTGGTTCATGGGGTCTATTATACAGTTCTGGAGTATTTTGATGATACTTTTGACTCTTGATACACTTATGAACTAATATTTATTCGCTTAGTATATTCATATTATGGTAATTACCAATTTAGGACGTATGTGTATGTTTAAGTGTATATTTACATGTTTTTTTGTTTACACATTTATTATTATATTTGCATACACAGTTCAAATTTTATACTAACTTTTTTTTATTATGTCCTCTTGGGATAATAATTATATTAAGTATAAATTGACATGATTGATAGAATGTAATTGGTCTATGAATGAATAAATCCATTTCTGTCTTTATATTTTTCTGTGTTCTATTGTATTTATATTTTTGAACTCGTACTTATTTACTCACGCCCACCTAAGCTTTGTATTTTATATCTTTATTATTTATATTGTTTGTTCAATTCGTTTGTATGTTTTTCAAGAATTTTCTCTAGAAAAATAATTATTATCAACAATAATTATAAGACTTTGTCTATAAGATGTATTTTTCTTCTGACAATGAAGTATATTTGCTTTGAATCTCTAAAACAACAGAACAAACACTTTAGTTTACTATTGATAATTATGGAATGTTGACTTTACCAAATATTTTGCCCAAGTACTATAAGATTAAAGAATAGGATATTGCACCAAAGGGGAAAAGCTATTTACTGACAACCTAAAATTCCAAGAGGTACAAGACGAACAGTTCAGTTTGATCAAGCTAACTGAAAAATCAGTTTATATCCTGATGCGTACCCTTAATGTCAGGACTTGAAGCGGGTATACAATTACAGTACTAACTACATCTATAAAATCTAACACTAAGTCTTTATAAAATCTAATACTAACTCACGCAGCTAATAGCATCTCCAAATAATAATAATGGTACATCTGAGGATTTTGGTGATTTGCGCCAACTGATTTTTTTTTGATAATGATAATTTTCTCTTTCAATGATTTGTTTTCAGCTGTGATTATACAGGGCTTTTCATGATGAGCGTTAATTAGCCGTTTCTGGCAAACTATTCAACGGATCAACCTGAAAATTCCACAGTATGCATAAGTNAAAGGTTCGCGGATTTTAAGAAAATTGAGAATGTTGTGGAAATTATCAGCACCAGCATTTATTCTCTGCACCCTGATGGTGAATGGAGCAATGAAGCTGCTATTGTTTACGGGAGTGATAAAGCTACTCTTCAAATGGAAATGATCGATTTCCAAGAAAACACAGTTTTGAAACACAAACATGCGGAAGTTTCCAGTGAATAGTTCTGGATAAAATTTGAATGTTGTGCTAAATATCCTGAACTAAAAATGTTGGCTTTGAAACTTCTTACTTTGTTTGGATCGACATAAATTTGTGAAGCGGCATTTTCAAAAATGAACTTTATTAAGAATAAATTTTGATCTCGACTTACAAGTGAGCATCTCCAGGATTTAATGTCAATAGTTGCACCAGTTTTACTCCAAACTTCAGACAGATAATTCGCAACAAACAATGTCATTTTTCACATTAACATGTACCAAAATACCAGCTTTGTTATTAGTAATAAGTTTAGTAAATAATTTTTTTTTGTCAAATATGCGGACCGCGATGGTTATTTCATTTCTTTAAACGGACCCCGAGCGAAATTAATTGACGACCCCTGATATATTATCATATGCATCAAAAGTTGAACAGTATTTTTATTTTGTTTTTTTTTGCAAAATTTGTTCTAATCTGTATTTGAAACTGTGCTGGTTTTATTAATTATTCATCAGACGTCATTTTAGTAGCTTGAAAAATAAATATCTCATCTTGAACTTTGAAAAAAATAATGTTTAGTCATAATATTTTTTTGTCCAAGAAAACTCAGATACATTTTTTCCAATTATCTTCATTAACGTTTTTAGAATAATAATTTTCTTCTTATAATAATCAAAACGTGATATTTGATCAATATTCATTCCTGAAATTTCATAGGTGAAGATGGCAACTACGTATGTGCTGGATCAGATGAAGGCATTATTTTTGTTTGGGAACGAAAGAGATCAAAAATTGTAACTGCATTATTTGGTGACTTGTCCATAGTCAATTGTATTCAACCTCATCCAAGTATGTGCTTTATTGCATCAAGTGGAATTGATTCTAGTGTTAAACTTTGGTCACCTTTGCCGGAGGTATGTTGATAAAGAAGTTTTTTTATATAATTAATTGTTTGAATTATATTTTTCACGAAGCGCAGAAGAACCACATATGTTCATTATTTGTTTCTTGAAAATCATGACTTTAAAACTCGGTAGCTCGAATTAATCTCGAAATTTCGACTTTAGACTCAATATTACGACTTCAAACTCAATATTACGACTTTGAAAACTGATTATTACGACTTTGGATTCTAAATTTTGACTTTGAACTCAAAATGTCGACTTTGAATTCTAAATTTTGACTTTAAACTCGAATTTACGACTTTAATATCGAAATTACAATCAAAATGTGTACTTTAAATTCGAAATTCCAACTTTAAACTTGAAATTACGACTTTAAACTTGAAATTACGACTTTAAACTTGAGATTACGACTTTAAACTTGAAATTATGACTTTAAACTTGAAATTATGACTTTAAACTTGAAATTACGACTTTAACCCTTCGGTGGGCGCACCGGCGGCAATCTGCCGCAAATTTTACATTCGACCTTGTATCAGAGCTGCCGCTCAACCTGTCGTGCTATATACGCATGCATTCCTTACTCACATTTCCCACACCACGTTCGATAAATTGGACGTTCCAGGCGACAATGGTTCAGTTGCTGATATATACCTTTAGTGAAGGAGAGTATTATTTGCGGCTATCTGCCGCAACGCGCCCTCCCACGTTTCTCATTATCTATTCTCCAAAAAAAGCATCACCATGTAAGTAACACTTTATCTATAATATTTCAGTCACAATGTTTCATCCAAAATAATAATTAGAAGACATGTTGTTTTATTCCTACTTCTCGTTTTCTCAGGTCTCGGAAAATTTTGAATGAAGAAGAGTTAGAGAGAGCTCTTCGCTATGTTTTGAGAGAGTTATNATAAGACTTTGTCTATAAGATGTATTTTTCTTCTGACAATGAAGTATATTTGCTTTGAATCTCTAAAACAACAGAACAAACACTTTAGTTTACTATTGATAATTATGGAATGTTGACTTTACCAAATATTTTGCCCAAGTACTATAAGATTAAAGAATAGGATATTGCACCAAAGGGGAAAAGCTATTTACTGACAACCTAAAATTTCAAGAGGTACAAAACGAACAGTTCAGTTTGATCAAGCTAACTGAAAAATCAGTTTATATCCTGATGCGTACTCTTAATGTCAGGACTTGAAGCGGGTGTACAATTACAGTACTAACTTACATCTATAAAATCTAACACTAAGTCTTTATAAAATCTAATACTAACTCACGCAGCTAATAGCATCTCCAAATAATAATAATGGTACACCTGAGGATTTTGGTGATTTGCGCCACCACTTACCCAAATAACTGAGGGATCCTCAGTAGTACGTTATCTTGGAATTCTTTTTATTTTAATATCATTTTTAGTTGCTCTTGTTCATCTAAAAATTTCTTTTAGGAAACTGTTATTTTTTTGATAATGATAATTTTCTCTTTCAATGATTTGTTTTCAGCTGTGAGTATACAGGGCTTTTCATGATGAGCGTTAATTAGCCGTTTCTGACAAACTATTTAACGGATCAACCTGAAAATTTCACAGTATGCATAAATCAATATGACCTACACGCCTAAAATATTTCAGACGAAGCGGCGTTGTCGCTTCTACTATAAAGTAGCGGCTTCTTTGATTTTTCAAATGGAACACCCCGTATATAATATCATATTATGATTCATTATCACTTTGTCAACAAATTCATATACTATTTCCCTATACCTATCTATTACCGTTTAGAAGATATAAATTAATTTCGATATTTTTTTAACAAACATGAACTTTTATAAATGCTGATAATCTTGAACTCTCTTGCACTAAAACGATC